TCCTTTTTTATGGGGTACATGTGATATTTTCACATATGCACACAATGTGTAATAATAAAATCAAGGTAATTATTATATTCATCATCTCAAATTTTTATCATTTCTTTGGGCTGGGGACATTCCAAATGTTCTCTTCTAGCTACTTTAAAATAAACAATAAATTATTAACAATAGTCACTCTACTATGTTATCAAACACTAGAACTTATTGCTTCTATCTAGGTGTCTTTTTGTATCCATTAACCAATCTCTCTTCATTCCCACTCCTGTCTATCCTTCCCAGTCTCTGGTAAACATCATTCTACTCTCTATCCATGAGATAACTTTTTTAGCTCCCACATATGAATGACAAAATTCAGTAGTTGCCTTTCTGTGCTTGGCTTGTTTCACTTAACATAATGTCCTCCAGTTCCATTCATGTTGCTGCAAATGATAGAAATTCATTCTTTTTTAATGGCTGAATAATATCCCATTGTATATATATATATATATATACCACATTTTCTTTATCCATTCATCCATCGATGGGTATTCATGTTGATTGCATATTTTGGCTATTGTGAATAGTGCTGCAGTAAACATGGGAATGAAGATGTCTCTTTGATATTTTGATTTCCTTCCTTTTGAGTGTATACTCAGTAGTAGAATTGCTGGATCATATGGCAGTTCTATGTTTAGTTTTTTGAGGAACCTCCATACTGTTTTACATAGTGGCTGTAATAACTTATATTCCTATCAATAGTATACTCACATTAATTACCCTTTCTCCACATCCTTGCCAGCATTTGTTATTTTTCATCTTTTTGATAATATCCACTTTAACTGGGGTGAGATGATATCTTATTATAGTTTTGATTTGCATTTTCCCAATAATTAGTGATGTGAGCATTTTTTCATATACCTCTTGGCCATTTGTACTTCTTTTGTGAAATGTCTATTCAGCTCATTTGCCCATTTTTATTGGGATTTTTGTTTTTGCTTGCTCTTTAATGAATTTTTCTTTATATGTAATTGTTATGAATCCAATGTCAGATGAGTAGTTTGCAAATATTTTCTCCCATTCTGTAGTTGTCTCTAGTTTATTGATTGTTTCCTTAGCTGTGCAGAAGCTTCTTAGCTTGATGTAATCCTGTTTGTATATTTTTGTTTTTGTTGCCTGTACTTTTGAGGTCTTATCCAAAAATTCTTTGCTCAGATCAATGTCCTGAAGTCTTTCTCCAAAGTTTTCTTCTAGTTTCAGGTATTACATTTAAGTATTTAATCCATTTTGAGTTGATTTTTATATATATAGAGAAGGGTCTAGTTTCATTCTTCTGCATACAAATATTCAGTCTTCCCAGTACCATTTATTAAAGAAAGTGTCCCTTCTCTAATGTATGTTCTTGGTGCCTTTGTTGAAAATGAGTTGGTTATAAATACATGGATATATCTATGGGTTCTCTATCCTGTTACATTGGTCTGTGTGTCTATTTTTATGCCAGTACCATGGTGTGTTTATTGGTCACTATAGGTTTGTGGTATATATGAAATCAGATAGTGTGATGCCTCCAGCTTTGTTCTTTTTGCTCAGGATTGCTTTGTCTATTCTGGGCCTTTTGTGGTTCCAAATGGATTTTAGGATTGTTTTTTCTATTTCTGTGGAGAATGTCGTAGGTATTTTGAAAGGGATTGCATTGAATGTGTAGATTGCTTTGAGTAGTATGGGCATTTTAACAATATTAATTCTTGCAATCCATGACCATGGTATATCTTTCCATTTTTTTGTGTTCTCTTCAATTTCTCTCACCAATGTTTCCTAGTTTTCTTTGTAGAGATCTTTCATTTCCTTGATTACATTTATTCCTAGGTATTTAATTTTCTTATAGCTATTGTAGATGGGATTGCATTTTTGATTTCTTTTTCAAATTTTTGCTATTGGTGTATATAAATGATATTGAATTTTTATGTAGATTTTGTATCCTGCAACTTAGAACTAAATTTGTTTATTAGTTCTAAGAGTTTTTTGGTGGGCTCTTTTGTGTTTTTCTAAATATGAGATTATGGCATCTGCAAACAAGGATCATTTAACTTTTTCCTTTCCAATTTGGATGCCCTCCTTCCTCCCTACACTCCCTCTCTCCCTTCCTTCCTTCCTTCCTTTCTCTTTCTTTCTCTTTCTTTTACCTAATTGCTTTGAGTAGGACTTCTAGTACTATGTTGAATAGGAGTGGTGAAAGTAGCCATCCTCCTTTTTTCTAGATCTTAGAGGAAAGACTTTTAGTTTTTCCCTGTTCAGAATGATGTTAGCTGAGGATTTGTCACATATGGCCTTTACTGTTTTGAAGTGTTTCTTCTATACTCAGTCATTGAGAGTATTCATCATTAAGGGATATTGAATTTCATTGAGTGCTTTTTTTTTTTTTTTTAGCATCTATTGAAATGATCTTGTGGCTTTTGTTCTAGATTTTGTTAATGTGATGTATCATGTTTTTGGATTTGCATATGTTGAAGCATCCTTCCGTCCCTGGGATGAATCCTACTTGATCATGGTGATGAATGATCTTTTTAATGTGTTGTTAAATTTGATCCACTAGTATTTTGTTGAAGATTTTTGGATTTGTGTTCATCAGGGATATTGTCCTGGTTTTGTTTGTTGTGCTCTTGTCTGGTTTTGCTATCAGGTTAATGTTGGCCTCATACAATGAGTTTGGAAATATTCCCTTTTCTTTATTTTTTATTTTTTGAATAGTTTCACTAGAATTGGTATTAGTTCTTTAAATTTTGGTAGAATTCAGCAGTAAAGCTGTCAGATCCTGGGCTTTTCTTTGATGGTAGAGTTTTTATTATTGCTTCAATTTCATTACTCATTATTTGTTCAGCTTTTCTATTTCTTTCTGGTTTAATCTTTGTAGGTAGTATGTGTCCAGGAATATATCCATTTCTTCTAGGTTTTCCAATTTGTTGCTGTATAGTTGTTCACAGTAATCTCTAAAGATACTTTGTATTTCTGTGCTATCAGTTGTAATGTCTGTTTTTTCATCCCTAATTTTATTTATTTGGGTCTTTTCTCTTTTTTTATTAGTTAATCTAGCTAAAGATTTGTTGATTTTCATTTTATTTTCCAAAAACCAACTTTTTAATTTCATTAATCTTTCATATTGCTTTTAGTCTCAATTTCATGTATTTGTGCTCTGATCTTTATTATTTTTTTTTCTTCTACTAATTTAGGGTTTGGTTTGTTTTTGCATTTTTAGTTCCTTGAGATGCATCATCAGGTTGTTTGTTTAAAGTCTTTCTACTTTTTTGATGTAGATGTTTATTGCTATGCACTTTCCTCTTAGAACTGCTTTTACTGTATCTTATTGGTTTTAGTACATTGTGGGTTTTTTTTTTGTTTAAGGAATCTTTTAATTTATTTCCTTTTTACTTTCTTCATTGATCCATTCATTGTTGAGAACAGAGCATGTTGTTTAATTTCCATGAATTTGTATAATTTCTAATGTTCCTTCTTTTATTGATTTCTAGGTTTATTCCATTGTGGTCAGAAAAGATACATGATATGATTTTGATATTTTAAAAGTTATTAAGACTTGTTTTGTGACCTATCATATGATCTATTCTGGAGACTGTTCCATGTACGATTGAGAAAAATGGGTATTTTCACTTGTTGGATGGCATATTCTGTACCTGTCTGTTAGGTCAATTTAGTTTAGAGTACTATTATTGTATTGCAGCTAATCTCTCCCTATAGGCTTATTAACACTAGGTTTATGTTTTTGGGTGCTCTGGTGTTAGGTACACATATATTTATAATTGTTATATCCTCTTCCTGTATTAACCCCTTTATCATTAAATAATGGCCTTTGTCTTTTAAAAAATCCTTCTTGACTTAAAATTTATTTTATATGGTAAAAGTGTAGCTACTCCTGCTCTTTTTTGGTTTCCACTTGCATGAAGTATCTTTTCCTGTTCCTTCATTTTTAGTCTATTTGTGTCTTTATAGGTGAAGTAAGTTTCGGGACTGGCTTTAAGTAGTTGACAGTCTTCCATGTCTGCTAGATCCAGACTGACTGTGTATACTGACAAAGACTCTCTCCTTAACCTAATTCTAGGCAAGCTCTTCTGAACCCAAATAGAGCCCATCCTTGAGGGTGTCCACAAGAGCCCAGTTTTAGCAAGAATCCTGCTAAATCAGTTTAGCTGGAATCTCTCACCCTTGATACCTGATCACTTTCAATATCTGACCAAATTCGTCATTTTTCACTATCTTCTGGGTAACATCTGATCAGCCTGGCCGGCCTTCACTAAGAAAGAATCCTGTTGGATCAGCTTAGCAAGAATTACTCTACCTTCTCAGTAATATCCCATCTACTGACCTTCCCTACTCTGCTCCTTGGCTATAAATAAATCCTCAATTTTCTTTGTTAAATTTAGAGTTGATGAACACTACTATTGGGAAGTATGAATTTCTTTTAAAAATAAAAAAAATTAAAAAAATAAAAAAAATATTTAGAGTTGAGCCCCATCTCTCTCCCTACTGCAAAATCCCATTGTAGTCTCTATACCCGTCAGAGTAGTCCTGCATGAAGTCTGCCTTACCATATTAACAAGTGTTAGTATAATTTTTTGCTTTAATATCATGTTTCCCCCAAAATAAAACCTATCCATAAAATAAGCCCTCGTAGGATTTCTAAGCATTTGCGCAATATAAGCCCTACCCTGAAAATAAGACCTAGTGATGGGCGTGGCCATGCAGCGTATCTGCATAACCCATGCATTTTGTCCGGAGCAGTAAAGAAGATGAGCAGCCCTTCTCATCTGCCCCATAGTGACAGCTACTATCCCAGAGGTGACTGGAAATGTGCGGGCAGCCCACCAACAAGGTCAGCTCCCCCTGTCAGGTCCCGGCCATCCTGTGCGTGCTGCAAGCTGAGGCTTTGAGGGGAAAATACACATCCCCTGAAAATAAGCCCTAGGGTACCTTCTTGAGGAAAAATAAATATAAGACCATGTCTTATTTCCGGGGAAACACAGTAGTATCAAGTGATCGTTTATGGCTTATTCCTGAGTATCAAAGATTAAATCCTTGCCTTTCTGTCTTATGTGTATGATCTGGGCCCTGAATGATCCGAGGGAGATCCTGACTACTCGAGGCTGGGCTTATTTGTGCTTCTATCCCCAGATTTTAGTGGACTGAAATCAAATCTGACCACTCTTTTATTTTTAGACCACATATAATCATATCCAGCACTTCCATAGCTGCCATATTTACAACCATAACCTGTTACTTGCCTTTGTCTCCCATACTATCAGTCTGTATGGTTAGACCCAAATTGACGTGTGTTTTACTTGTCTGGCTTCTGAATGTATTATCTATCTCCTGCCTGCTTATGACTATAACTTGCTTGTTCCTAGAGGGAACTAGCTCTATCCATTATTCTTTTGGTTTTGGATCCTGACTGTTCATGGGTAGGTATCATCTGTTTATGAATAGACTCTGAATTTCTAACATTGTCTTCAGAATGTTCATGATACATCTTTTTTGGCTTATTTTATTTGTTTTTCATTGTCCATGGCCACACTCAGACTATCTGTGAGCTGATGCTGATTCTGTTTGAATCTCCTTAACCACCTCTAAACTGACCATAAATGGATCTGCATTGTCTGCTTTTACTAGAATCAGATTGTGTGGATGAAGTTTGTCTGTAAGATGACTATAGGTGTATGGAGCTATTTTCTGATTGCTAGTGGCTCAATATTTATCTTCCCATGTGCTAGTCCCAGATTCCCCATAAGTAAACCCAGAATGTCCATTAGTGGATGTCTGGCTGTGATAAAACCCTGAATATCTAGTACAGTCTTCTGTCAGCCTGAGTTATAGGCTTGTCTGTCTGTTGTGCTGAATCCTGACTGTCTATGAGTGGCTGTCTGTCCCAAGTGAGATTCTGGGTATGTGGTATGATGTTTTTGTATTCTTCTGGTGCTAGACCATAATGGTCATCTGACCTCCATAAGCTCCTGAGTGTCAGAGCTGTGTCTTGACTCCCCATGGCAGGACCTTTGATTTTCTCCTGTGCTGGAACCTCAGTGCCCATAGGTGAACTCCAGTTGTCTATTAGTGGCTCTCTGGCCTTGATGAGACCCTGAATGTCTGGGACTGACCTACTGACTAGCCATAAATAGATTCATATTGGTTTCTGAATTGGATTCAGACTATCCATGGGTTGATTCTGACTGTCTCTCTAAGCCTTCTGATTGTCCTTCACAATCATTGGCTTGATCTATAGGGGATCTCTGATGTTTTCTTGCTGTGGCTCCAATATATATAGAAGATGATTGCCCGTGAGATGACCCAGATTGTTTATAAATAGACTCATGCCTTTCTTTTATGTTGGACCTAAATTCTTCATGGGTAGACCCAGCTTGCCTATGAGTAGATATCCATGCTCGATAGAACTCTGGACTGTATCCCAATTTCCCATGGCTGGAGTCATCTTTTCTTCTTGTGCTAGGCCAGAATCCTTATCATCATGGGAAGGAAAAGACCTCTTTTCCTGTCTCCTGATTGTCCTTCACTGTCACTGGACTGACTGTAACTGAATCCCCCTTATTTCCTTATACTGGAACCAGACTGAGTAAATGATGATTGTGTGTGAATAAATCCTGAGTGTCCACAGCTGTCTTTTGTTTGTCTGTGGTTAAATTGTAAATTGTATAATTGGTGCTGGATCTTGGCTGTCCATGGGTAGGTCCAGATTGTATGTGTCTGTTCTTGATAGTACTCCGAATATCTAGACCTTTCTTCTGATGTCTCAGATGTCCATAATCATACTCAGACTGTCCATGGATTGATAATGGATTTCTACACAAGCCTCTTGATGTTTGTCACTATCACTACTATAATTGGAACCTCAATGTCTGATTATACTTGAACTAGGCTTTGTAGATGCAGATTGTCTGTGACCAGATCTGGAACACCTAGAGTGATTTCCTGGTTATCCATAGCCAGATACGTGTCTTCTTGTTATACTGGATCCAGATTCCCCTTTAATGGACCCAGAGTGTCCATAAATTGCTATCTGGCCATGTTGACATCCTGAATATCTAGAGCTGTCTTCTGACTCCCTATGGCTGGAACCCTGTCTTTCTCCTATGCTAAACCATGATTGCTTATGACCATACTAAGACTGACCATGGGTGAAAGCTGACTGTATATCTCAAGCTCCTGATTATCCTTTAATATTAGTAGATTGACTATAACTGGATGCTTGTTTTCTGCTTATACTGATAACATACTGTGTGGATGTTACCTGAATGTCCAGTGCTGTGTCCGGACTATCTATAGCTACATTCTTGTCTCTCTTTTCTGCTGGACTCAGGCTTTTCATGGATTAATGCTGATTCTCTATCTGAGTCTTCTGATTATCCTTCATCAGCCTGACTATAACTGTGTTGGTCATGATTGTTTATGAGTAGACTCCAAGCATTCGGGGTTTTCTTCCAAGTGTTCATGGTAGATGTATTTCTTCCTGTTTTACTCAGCTTCTTCATGACTAGACCCAACTGTCTGTGAATTTATGTAATTTATAAGACACAGATTGTCTAGAGGTGTCTCCTATCTGTTCATGGCTGGCTGCCTGTTTTTATTGTTGGATCCCAATGGTCTATGTTTAGAGTCAGACTAACCATTACTAGATGTCTGTGACAAAACCTGGAGTTTAGAATTTATAGAACTATCTCTTAAGTTTCTACAACTGGATATTTTTTTTTTCTCTTGTGCTAGATAGATCCTACTGTCTTTTTCCATTCAGACTGTCCATGGGTTGATTCTGACTCCCTCTCTGTGTCTCCAGATTGTATTTTATTGTCACTTGCCTGATTTTTACATCATCTTTGATGTCTGCTTACAGCAGGTCCAGAATATGTTAATAATACTTGTCTGTGAATTGATCCTGAAAGTCTTTTGATTATCTATAAGTGAACCCATTTCTTTTCTTTGTGTTGAATACAGATTCTCCATTGGAAGACTCAGATTGCCTGTGAGTAGATGCTTATCCTTGATGAGTTCCTGGCCTAGCTTTTGACTATCTAAGACTAGAGCCATCTCTTTTTCTTGTGCTTCCTACACAGGGAAGCACAAGAACTGTGTGGGCAAGTTCTTGTGCCCACACAGAACTTGACCACAGGAGAAGGGTGACTGTCTATCTCAATCTCTTCATTGTGCTTCATCACTGGACTGAGTAAAATTAGATCTCTGCTATCTGTTTATACTAGATCTAGACTGCACAGGTAATGATTGTCTGTGAGAAGATGATGAATGTCCAGAGCTCTCTCCTGACCGACTATGGCTGGATCTATGTCTTATTATATTGGGCCTAGATTCTCCATGTGAGGACCTAGACTGTCCATAGGTAGATGTCTGTCCCCAGTATTTATCACTATCTTGTGATTGTCTTTGGGTACAGCCTTGTTTTTTTTTTTTTTTTTTTTTTTTTTATCAGATTTCTGTTGTTTATGACCACACCGAGGCTGTTCATGGTTGATGCTGTCTATGTGAATTTTAGGATTGTCATTCACTATCATTAGATTGACTATACCTGGTCACCTTTGTCCACTTTACTGACTCCAGATTCTGTAGGTAATGACTGGCTATGAGTTGATTCTGAATGTCTGGCACTCTTTCCTCACTTTCTATGATTGGATGCATCTGTCTATGATTGGATGCATGCAAACTGTCAATGACTGGTTATCTGGCCATGCTGAGATCCTGACTATCTAGACCTACTTCCTATTTGATAATGACTAGGGTTTTGTTTTCCTCTTGTGTTAGATCCATATTATCTATTCTTCTGAATCTCCTGATTGTCACTCACTGTCACTGGATTTACTATAGCCAGACCTACTGGCATACAGATGGCATATCAAAGGACTAGACTGAAACTCTCTAGGGAAGAATGCTTAGATACAAAAGGAAAGACACAATGGGTAGAACTTTGGAGTCATTTCAACCTTTAGAATTCCAGGAGAGGAGACAGAGCCAGCCAAGCAGACCCAGAAGTAGTGGCCAGTGAGGTAAGAGGAAATCCAGGAAAATATGGTGTCATAGAAGCCAAGAGGAGGGAAAAGGTTAACTAAATGCTAAATGCTGCCAAGGTATCAAGCAATTGAAATGACCACTGAATTTGGCAATATGGATATAATCTAGCTGTCTCTTTGGCATTTCAAGATGTTTATAGCTATTTAAAACTTAACATGACCAAAACAGAACTCCTGAATTCTCTTTCATCAAACTATACTGTACTCATTTTTCTTCACCCAAGTAACTGTAAGAAGTATCATCATCTATCCACTTGGTCAGACTAAAATATTAGGTGTCATTCTTCATTCCTCTTTCTCTGCTCTTCTATGTATAATCCATCAGCAAGTCCTACCAGTTTTCTCTTCAAAATTTTCTCATTTTTATTGCTACCAACCTAGTCCATGCCACCATCATCTCAGCTATTCTATTGCAACTAGTCTCCCCTCTTCCTTCTTGCTTCATCCCTCAATCTACTGTCCATACAGCAATCAGCATGAAGTTTTAAGAATGTAAATGCATGTTACTTCCCTGCTTAGAATGCTCAAAGAGCTTCCCATCATACTTAGAATAGTAGACAAACTTCCTACTATTGTTCTCTTTGTGATTTGATCCCCATACACCTTTCTGATCTCTCCCTTCTCCTTGTCTAGACTCATTGACTTTCTAGCTCAGAAGAATATAATATCTGCTCTGCCTGTTATTTTCCCAGAACCTTGTGATCTGACTTGTTTTTTGATCCTTTTTTCTCCACATAGCTGGTTTCTGTTTATATTTCTGGGTTTTGTTCAAATGATGCCACCTGTGAGTATCTTTCCTTCTTACCTCTGGCACATTTGTTTTCTTTATAGCACATTATTGCCATTTGAAATTTGTTTAGTGTCTATCTCCCCTTACAGAATATGTCACCTCTCTGAGAGCACGGATTTCATCTGTTTGCTCACTCCTGTAAACTCAGAAGCTAGAAGGGGGCATGGCTCATAGTAGGCAGGTACTTACTGCTTACATGAATGAACATGTAAGTGTCTTCTTCACCTATACAGAGTGTTCTTTCTTCATTTTTCCTCAGCACATTGTTCACATTCTTTCCTTTGTATTCCTAGCACATCATTCTACATTGTATAGCATGTAATATACTGCATGATAATTGGCATTTTATGGAATTGTTTCATGTGATAAGTGATCTTTGTGATGGTGGTAATCACAGCTTATTCATCTTTGTATCCCTAGCAAGTATCAAATTACCCACTTAGTGGTAGAACTCAATCAATATTACCTGAGCAAATGGATGAATTATTGAATTAGAATTCAGCTGTCACTAATTCAGATAATAGAGAATCAGAGGATTGGTTTTCTGAGATCAGCTTCCATCTTACTGATTCTGATCTAACTGATCTTACTGATACTGTTTAAATTATCATATATCTAAAAGGATGTAGGAGGATATAAGCATTTTCTGCATCTGTAGATTCAACAGTACAGGAAGCAGTATGACTTGTAGTCCACAGTAAGAGCTATATGATATTTAGATAAAGCTTTCTGAAAATAGTGAAGACAATCAATAATGCTGGCTTGCTTTCAGCCTACCATGTCTTCGGGTTGTACAATGTAGCAATGCATAGAAAATACTGAATAATGCCAGAGAAGACACATATCTGTCATTAATTTCCTTCTCTATAGAGAATCTTATGGTTATAGGGGAACTAAAATAAATTTTAAAAAACCAGGCATCCAATAGTGTTATGCTGTAGAGTATATCCCTAGATTTCCACTTCAATTAACACTAAGTAGGAGTAGTTAGATGGATTCCCTCTCACCCAGTTCACCAAAGATACATGTAGGATGTGGACGGAAGGAGTGACAGGGTGCTACAGGCTAGGAGAACGGCCTTTTGTACCTACCAGTAAAAAGTCCATGCTCAGGAGGATCCACCCTTATGAAATGGTCTGATTCATAATCATCTTCTGATCCACCTGCATTGCCACCTTTCTTTCTCTATCTTTTATTTCCCAACTTCTTCCAGTAGTCATTTCTGCTTGTGTTAGCAGCTTCTAGATTTAGGCTGACATTAGTACTGACTAGCATAAATTTTAGAAAAGGCTCTCTTTGGAAATCATAGCTTCCTTGTGTATATCCATCATCCTTTATACTTTCTTGTGCCTCCCATATTGACCTAACAAATGATTGATGCATATTTGCTAAAGAACAAGAGACAGTAGAACTGAGACAGTAGAATATCCATTTGTAAGAGAGATCTGAAATCTAAGATAGGTGAAGAGTTTATAGGACAGTGCCAGCTAGGGTTTAATTTCACCTGGTTAGTTACTGCAAATTCCGTCTCTGAGTGTTGTAGAAATATGCTTATGTTATAACCGAACCATTACTTGTTGTCTCTGCAATATTGTGATGAATGGAAAGGAAAGGATATTGGAGGTGGACACATTT